GATGCAGACTGAGAGCAAGGGTGGGATGCAGACTGGGAGCAAGGGTGGGATGCAGACTGAGAGCAAGGGTGGGATGCAGACTGGGAGCAAGGGTGGGATGCAGACTGGGAGCAAGGGTGGGATGCAGACTGGGAATGGTGCTTCAGTGGAGTTGGAAGCATGTTACTTTGGAGAAGAGACCAACCCCCATCTGGCTCCAACAGGGAGCTGCAGAGAGTGAGAAGGTCTGTATGGGATGTCTGTGTCTCCCCAGGCAAAGGAGAAGCTGCAGGACACAATTGACAAATACCTGCGGGAGAAGATTGTCCTGGCAGCTGAAGCCATCTCAAGGTCTGCCTTTGAGAAGATCAATGACCATGACGTGATCCTGGTGTATGGATGGTGAGCACAGAGCACGAGCAACCAGGCCAGTGGGTGGGAGGAGGAAATGGAACAGCACGGAAGTGAGCACAGGAAGTGAGGCTGTGCTAGTCCTATGCAGGGCTTGGCTCTGTCTCATCTCGTGTGTCCAGAGTTGGGTTCCAAGAACCCCATGATCAGGCAGAGTCACAGCTTCCCTCCACCCAGGGCACTTGCAGAGCAGTCGTGGCTGTTCACTGGATTTTAAACAAGCTGCAGCAAAGTCAAATGTCAGAAAGCAAAAATATGTGAGCTTATTCTTCCTTGGGAGGCCTATGTCCCAGAAAGTAGAGGTGGGAAAAGGAGCCAGAGACTGCTGCAGCAAGAGTCCAGGTGTGATGTGTGTCCTGGATGGAGGAAAGAACAGGGGCAGGAGGCCAGTGCGGGCCTGGAGCATTGGGAGAGGGAAACTGGGAGAGAGTTTGGAGAGAACGTCATGATGGTTACAGATGGGGAGGTCAGTGCTGCTTCAGGGAGGACTGAGATGTCCGCTTTCCCAGGGGTGGTTCCCTGTGCAGAGACAGGGAGAGGGGCCCTGGGAGCCGTCGTGGCAGGAAGGTTCTGGAAGGGGCAGCACTCATGAGGGCGAGGGTGGACGTTGTGGCTGGGTGAGAGCCTGGCCTGGCGTGAGGGGGCAGCTCCTGACGGTGCCCGCCAGCTCCTCCCTGGTGAACCGCACGCTGTGCGACGCCCACGCGAAGAAGGGCCGCGCGTTCCGCGTGGTCGTGGTGGACAGCCGGCCGCGCCTGGAGGGCCGGGAGACGCTGCGCCGGCTGGTGCGCAAGGGCATCCACTGCACCTACGTGATGATCAACGCCATCTCCTACGTGCTGCCTGAGGTGAGGGGCTGGGCCGGGGCCGGCGCGGGGCAGGCTGCAGCACCATCAGAGGTGCTGACAGGTCCCTGTGCTGCCCTGGCAGGTGTCCAAAGTGCTGCTGGGAGCCCACGCGCTCCTGGCCAACGGCTCTGTCATGTCCCGGGTGGGGACATCACAGATCGCGCTGGTCTCCAAGGCCTACAACGTGCCTGTCCTGGTCTGCTGTGAGACCTACAAGTTCTGTGAGCGAGTGCAGACAGACTCTTTTGTCTCCAATGAGCTGGGTATGGCTTCTGTCCCCTTCCTCCCACCTAGGATGTCATCCCACTCCCTGCTGCGGGCCACAGCAGGCTGCTCTGCCCTGCCATTCTGCTTTCTGGGCGAGGGGGCACCACTCGTAGTCAGGGGGGCCTGGCAGGCAGCAGCAGTGTGTGCTCCCAGGGCAGGATGGAGAGGTGCTGTCCTTCCCCCTGATCCTGCCGGCTGCTTCTCTCTCCACAGATGACCCCGATGACCTGATTGTGCTCCGGAAGGGCCAGGCCCAGCTGGGGGGCTGGGCTGAGAACAAGTCCCTGCGTCTCCTCAACCTGGTCTATGATGTGACACCCCCAGACCTGGTGGATCTGGTCATCACAGACTTGGGCATGATCCCCTGCACCTCGGTGCCTGTGGTCCTGCGTGTCAAGAACGTGGATCAATAGTCAGGACAGCTGCATGGACACTAATAAACTAGGCCCACAGTACCCTATGTGTGCTGTCTGTTGTGGTGTGGCAGAGCCCTGGCACCTGTGTCACCACTGGGGTAGCTCTGCACCTTCCTTTGGGCGTGCTGGCCCAAGCCCCTCTCTTCCTGCTCCAGGCTGCAGCAGGGAAGGGTCTTCTGTGTCCCTGGGCCTCTCCTCTGGGAATTGGGGAAAAAGGGACACTGTGGTGATGGCCCCTGGCTCAACCTCCTCCAGCTGAGCTTCTGGCAGCCCCCTCGAGGCTGGGCTGCATGGAAGAGCTCGGGCCCCTCCTGGCCGGTGGCCTCTGGCGCCAGCTCTTGAACTGGAGCCTTCCCGCGGGGTCCGGCGCGGTG